ATAAGAGGAATCCACGTAATACTAATACTAATAATATGGATAATAATAATGATAATAATAATATTAAGGATAATACTACTAATAATAATGTTAAAATGAGACTAAGAAGAAGAGGAGGAGGAGCAAGAGGAGGAGGAGGAAAGGGAGGGATGGGAGGGAGGGGGGGAGGGAGGAGGAAGGAACGAGGGGGGAAGGGAGGGATGGAGGAGGGAGGAGGGAGGAGGGATGGAGGAGGAGGGAGGAGGAGGGAGTAGGAGGGAGGGGAAAAGGAGGGAGGAGGATGAGGAGCAGGGAGGGTGGAGGGAGGAGGGATGCGCGCCAGGCCCAGCGGCGGCGCAACGCTTCACCGGGGCCTTCCGGCCGCGCCCAGCATGGCCCCCCCCACCGCTCTTTCGGGGGCCAGGAGAGCTCCGAGGTGTCGATTTATCGGCGATGTGGCGCCAATTCCATGTGATGGGTTCAGAGAAGGCCTCGCCTTGGAGGGTCGAAGGAGTTGGTATCTCTTCCTCGGCAGAAGGCGGCGGAAGGCCGGCGGAAAGCGGCGGAAGTAAAAGGCCGGCGGCTCCGTTGACGGAAGGCCAGCGGAAGGCGGTGGAACTAGAAGATGCCCCCCCTCAAATATGAAAACGACATTTTTGGATTCAGGGTTTTGGAACCCGCCGTGTCACATTCCCCCCCCTGAGGTGGTTCCCGCCCCTACCGCGGCCCTTCAGCAGGCGAGGCCGAGGCATGGGCTTCTTTTGCGAGCACAGGGGCGCAGGTTCGAGGCAGCACAAGCATGGATTATGACGCGCCGGTTGGCGCTGGGCCCTGCGTCCGTGCGGAGTCGGCGCGCTCCGTCGCCGCGTCGGGCGGGGCCAGCTTCTCGTTGTGGGGGTAACCTTAAGTCGGGCCTGCCCCTCGACAGGAGGGAGAATACTCCAGGGATGATTTCTGGACTATTTTAGGGCACTTTGGGGGTATGGTTTGGCTATTTTCAGATTGTTCGTCCAAGATGCGCCTGTAGGAAGACACGCCCGACCCAAAGGTAACCGGGGGCGCTGCAACCCCCCTCGAAGTCAAACGCAAGTTTTTAGTATTGATGGGCGCGCGACGCGCGGCCCACGGGGTCCGATTTTTGTGTCTGCAGTCGCCAATTTCGGCGGGAGCATCGAAATTGTTGACTCTTCGCGAATCCCCACCCGCCCATCCAGAAACGGTGCCCAGGGGAATTGCCTCGATCAGGGAAGTGGGCAGCACACAGAGGGAGCCATTATGAGACATCTTGGGATATCTTGAGCCATCTTGGAGGTCATCGTGGGCTCTCCCAGGCGCTCTTGGCGTCATCGTAATCAGTGCCCCCCCCCAAAAAGCCAACATATGGCTAAAACCTTTTGTAAAATCAATGATTTGGCATTCTCGCCGAGGCCTCTTGGAGCATCTTGGGTGCTCTGGGGGGTCTCTTGGGGCCTCTTGGGGGTCTCTTGGGAGCCTCTTGGGGGCATCCTTGGGGCCTCTTGGGGCTTCCTGGTCACCTCTTGGGGCCCCCTTGGGGCACCCCTGGGAGCCTTGGGGGCCGTCTTTGGGCCATCTGGGGTGGGCCAAAACCATGGTAAAACCAATGATTTTGGCTTCCTCGCCGAGGCTGTTTTGGACGCCCTGACACCTCGCGACCCACCCCGTCCAGGTCCAGGGGAGGGGGTAGGGGGAGGGGTCAAGACCCCCTCCCCGCCCGCAAGCCGTCTCGCTCACTCCCACCCGCCCACCCACCCGAGTCTGGCCCGAGCCTCAGCATATTCAGCAGTAGTCTTTGGATGGGCAGCTACTGGGGGCCAATCCGCCGCCGCCGCCGTCGCCGCCGCCTCCGCCGCCGCCGCCGCCGCCGCCGCCCGCCGCTGCTCGCCGCCGCAGCCGCCGCCGCCGCCGCCGCCGCCGCCGCGCCGCCGCCGTCCGCCCGCCGCAGCCGCCGCCGCCGCCGCCCGCCCGCCGCCCGCCGCCCGCCGCCCGCCGCCCCGCGCGCTCCGCCGCCGCCGCCGCCGCCGCCGCCGCAGCCGCCGCAGCCGCCGCCGCCGCCACCGCCGCCGCAGCCGCCGCCGCCGCCGCCGTCAAGAGTACTCTGTATTGTTTTTTGACAGGGATGGTGGGGGGGGGCCGCGTCGGGTTGGCTGCGCATGTTCCGAATTTGGAGGCAGAGTGTGTGTTTGTATTGGTTTTTACAAGGGATGGTGGGGGCGTGTCGTCATGAACCTGGGTTGGCCCCCAGTCGCCTGGGGGAGGGGGTGTTTATTAATAGGGAACAGTGATAAGCCCCTCCCCGAAGGGGAAGAAGGACGGGTGGAAAAGAGGAAACTCTTTAAACCACCGACGCCCAGAGGGCTGGTGGGATTTTAGGATCCTGGGCCGCCGCGTCGCGTCGCGGGAAAAACTTGCGTTTGATTTCGAGGGGTGGTGTATCGTCGACCCATAGTTCTGGAGCCCATGCGCCAGATCCACGGATTTGTAATCCATGTCAGCGTGTGCCCGACCGGTCGGGCCAGGTTGTTTTGGGCCGTGTGAGTTCTTCGTTGAGGCCTCGGGTGCGCCGCGTATTTCGCCTTTCTTTCCGAGGTGGGGGTTCATCCATAACCACCGCCATGTGGAGGGGTCTTCGGGGACCTCGGCAGGCGGTAGATATTTATTACCATCTCGCAAGAGCGCCCCCAGTTCTCGGGAGTCTGGCCGGATCGTCGGACGTTCTCGTCGATTCCTGAAGATTTTCTTGCCTCGGGATGCGTTCTGGCAGCTGCGCCTCGCCAAGAGCGGGTAGGGGGTGCCCGGATCGTCCCGAAGGGCCACCAGAAATCCGAGTGCCCGTAAACCGAGGTCAGGTTCCGTTAGGATACGATCGACCCGATTCGATTCGGAGTCCGCCCAGGTCGGCCCGATCCGACCCGATTGCGATACTCCGACGATCCAGTGCGGCCCGATGCTTACAAGGCGATGTTCTGCATTCTGGCGCAGCCGATCTGATCCCATCTCGACTCCGTGGTGCTGCAGCCTTATCTGCACAAGGAGCCGCCCTTTGAAAGCGAGAGCCCCAATCCGTACAGTCAAGCCGCATGGTAAGGATGGGCAGCTTTCCCAAGGGTGCCCTTGCGTCCTTGCCTCCTCGGTCCATCCTTGGCCGCTTCTGGTGGCTGCGCCCCGCTCGGAAAGCTCTCCACTGGCCTTCTTAATGCCCTTGCCTCCTTATCGTGCAGCCTTATGATACGGGTCGGCCGTAGAACTTTTCACAAGGAAACCTTCGGGTCATGAAGGTTGAGTGTTAACCGGGCGCCTCATTTTGAAAAGCAGCCGTCCTCCATCCGTGCAGCCGATGGAAGGTTGTACAGTGGAGGCCCATGCCAAGAAACACCCTGCTTGCCTCCAGGGTGCCCTGGGTTTCCTGGATTTCGACGGTTTTGCTTTGGAAAGCGCGACGTGCCCACACCAAAAATCAGTGGACGCCCTGGGGTCTCAGGGTTGGGCTTCTTGTGGAAGGTTTCTTGTGGTCGGGCCCCTACTGGAAGACGAGTGTGCGCGGCGCCAAGGCTTGAGCCCCATTTTGACAGGAGCCGCCATCCATCGGTGCGGCTGTGGAAGTCTTCCAGACGCGTGTTCGTGGCGCTGAGGCAACAGCTTCATCTTGAAACAGTTTGTGATTTATTTGCGCAACCGTCGGGAGTTGTAAGCCTCGAGATCGTAAGGCCCGAGGAAGTCCCAGGTGAAACACCGAGCCTGCCCTGACGACAAAGACGTCTGGCGGTGCGACAGGGAGGAGTTGGGCACAAGGAAGAGTGGATGTGTGAGGAGGAGGAGGAGGAGCCCCCTTCCCCATAACCCTTGCGCGAGGAGGGCAGGATGAGGAAGAGTGAGGGGAGGATGAGGAGAAGTTATGCAGGAAGTGTGCAAGCCCTGGAATTCCTCCCATAACCCTCCCTCGCTTCCTCCCTCCATCCATCTATTGACTGTGTTGTGCTCTTGTCGCTTCGCGTGCCCCCACCAGCCCATCCAGAAATGATGCCCAGGCGAACTGCCTTGATCAGGGACGTGTAGGAGCAAGCAGCGCAAGAGCGAGGGATGCAGCCGTCAACCTGAAGATCTGGATCAGCCTGAGCAGGCCCAGGACTCAGTCGTCCATACCCTCTTGGTCTTTTTCGACGTCGGAACCTCTTGTCGGCTTACTTGGGCCATCTTGCGATCCGCTTTGGGCCATTTTTTTGGATTTCCTTTGCACTCTCTTGGTGCCCTCTCGGGGCCTTCTCGGGGGCCTTGGGAGCTCTCCTGGGGCAATCTTGGAGGCCATCGACGAAAGAAAGGGGGGGTCATAATGTCAGCCCCCCCGCCGGAGCCCGAAACGGCGCCTCCTGGATCCCTCCTGGGGCGCACTGCGCTACACCTGGAGCTCGCCCGTGCCCCCTTTTGGGGCTCTGGTGGGCCACGCTGAAGTCTCCAAAGCCGACCGGAAGCGACAGGGCGGCAAGGCATCGGGAGCCTTGAGACGGGGGTCAAAGCAAACGGTGGTCAGCCAGAGCGCCCGATCTTGCAGGATCCTGCAGGGCCAGGGTCGCATCGACCTGGGTCTGGGTGCCGGATCCTGCAGGATCCTTCGCATGGACCTGGACTTGGGTGCAGGCTTTTGCAGGATCCTGCAGGATCCTGCAAGGCCTGGCTGACCCGGGTCTGGACTGACCCGGGTCAGAAGATCCCCGAAAACCCATGGGAAAATATGGGGAATCCTGTTATTTGTGTCTATTTATTTGTGTGTCCCAGGGCCCCTTCAGACAAGGCGGGAAGGCACAGGTCAGAAGCTTTCGTTCGATGGTGTGACAGCGCACTCTTCGGGATCACTTCACCCGGCCACTCGGCGGGAGCAGAGAGCTCAAGCTTTTCGAGGGCGTCCCTTTGGTGCCAGCGCGCCTCCGCGGCGGCCTCTGGCGGGGGGCGGCGCGGGGTGTCCAACGAGGCTGCTGGTGCGGCTGGTGCCTCAGTGGTGGGGCCAGAGGGTCTTTTCCGGCAAACGCCGCGAGCGTGCTCGACATCGCAGAGTGCCGAGAGACGGGCCAGGAAGGCAGGGGAGCGTATCGTGAACAAGGCCAGGCGTGACCGTCACGGGCCATGCTGAAGGTGTGCGGATGGGGGTGCCGGGAGGAGGGCGTGAAGTGGGAGGAGGTCGCGGGGGAAGGAAGCGATTAGGACAAGCAGGCGCTTCGCCAGGGTGGAAGAAGGCGACTCTGGCCGCGCGATATATTGATACAGCTGCATGTTGATGCGTGCACTTGCCCGTACCACAAGTCGTGATTCAAGACAGGGATGTGTTGGAGGTACGTGCTGGTTCGCAAGGGAGGTGCGGAGGAGTGAGGTAAGCAACGGAACGAGCAAGAGGGATAAAGCGTGCAGAAGCGGTCTTCTTCCTTATGGTGGCGCAAGCGCTCTGTCCTGTGGCCATAATTAGGAAGTCATGAGGTGTTCTGACGGTGGTCGAAGACTCTGAGCCTTCAAGATCTCCAGGATGGCCTCTTCAATCACCGAGCGCGTTCCACTGCTCGCAAAGTGCCCACTCGCAATCGTCCGAGGAAAGGACATCTTCCTCTGCGTACTGCATCGTGAATCCCCCGCGGCGGATCCGGGCCATTCGCGAGCAGTCACTTTGCGAGTCGTGGAACGCGCTTGTCCATTCAGGCTCCCCTCTCGGGTGCCGTCTCGCTGCCGCGGCCCGCCGTCAGACCGCTGCCAGGCGGACCGCGCGCCTCTCGCTGGGCGGAGGCGCTCTCGCCTTCTCGCCGGCCGGCTTTCGGGAGGAAAACGTAGACACAGACACACACACACACACACACACACACACACACACACACACACACACACGCACCCAACGGTCGTGGATTACCAGATTCCAATCTTTCAAGCGCCTTCCTCCTTCAAGTATTGAGTGGCTTCACCTTTTCCGTCCTCTCTAGGGGGCAGGCGGACACCCAACCTACTTTCAACGCCTTCCTACTTCATGTTTCTACCTACTTCTTCCGACTGATGGGTAATCGTCGATGTCCAAGAAAGAAAGGGGAAAATCTGGCATACGGAAAACATGGCGGATCCTGGGACTTTTGTATATTTGTTTGTGTGGTCTCTGGGCCCCTTCACCCATCCCAGCAGCCCTGCGCCCGAACTGCTCGAGGCCCCCCGACAAGCTGTTGCGTAATGGTGCTCTTTCATCGCAGCGCCCGCCAGCCGCACTTCGTTTGTGGAGCGCAGGGGTCGCCGGAGTATTCTGCTCAGATTGCATTCGGCGGCGAGCGAGGGGGGGAAGTGAGAAGGAGAAGGCTCTCTCAGAAGGCGGCGGGGCTTCTCAGAAGCCCTCTGGCCTTCTGAGAAGTTCTTTGTGTCCGCGTGAAGGCTTAGAAAACTTCTCAGAAGGCCGGGGGACTTCGAGCCTTCTGAGAAGGCCCGCCCCTTCTCACTTCCCCCTGGGCGCGCCGCCGATTTTGTTTCTCGGTATTTCTCTTAAACTTGGTTCAAGAGGCTCACGCCATCCCGACGACCCCTGAAGGTAAGGGTCATCAGTCACTAGGAGGTGGGAGAGGAGCAGGACGCGG